GGGGATTGAACCGCGGTCCCTGATGCTTTGCCAAGCTTGTTCCAAGTAGGTGCCTTAGACCACTGAGCCATCTCTCCAGCCCCATATAATTCTGGTTCTTATTTACACTTTCAATTTCTCACACCACTGAGACAACACAATATTTACACATATTGCAATATACGTGTCTGATTATTTCACATGTGTATGGTCTCAGGCTAAGGAGATAGCTCAGCAGCATAAGTGCCTGCCTGGCAAGAGCAAGGTCCTGAGTTCAATCCCAAGTACCAAAGATTTAAAAAAAAAGCAAAACAAAAAAATATGGTCTCAAGGTCTCCCCATTTAGCTATAAATGTCTCAAGTTTATCAACTTTTAAAGCTAAGTGGTACTCCCTTATAGTAAAAGCCTACATTTTTAATTTTTAAAATCTATTTACCAATTGATGGACATATGAGCTATTTCCAAGATTTAGCTATTACAACTATGCTGCTATAAACATGGGTGTGTGTATATGCATGGGTGTGAGTATATGTGGTATGATGCTTTTAATTCTTTAGGGAAGATACCAAGAAGGAAAATAGCCAGGTCAAATGGAAACTGTAATCCTAGTTTTTTGAGGAATCTCAACACTGATTTCCACAGTGGTTGTACTGGCTTACCCTCCCACCAAAAGTGGAGAAGGGTTCCTTTTCCCCAGTGTTCTGCCAGCATTTGTTATTGATGGATTTCTTGATACTAGCCATTCTTTCTGGAGTAAGATGGAGTCTCAGCATTGTTTTAATTTGCATCTCTTAAATGACCAATGATGTGAACTTCAGGTGAAGAAGTACAAATGCCGTATGGTGAGCCTTTAATTCACTTTGACAGCACAGCTCAGACATTTGTGTGTTAAGTTTCTGGTGTCCTCATCCCTCCCTTCTTTGCTTTGACTGCCTTTGACTTAGATGGACAGAGAAGGGATGACATGTGCAATCCCAGGATTCATAGGAACAAACTGCATATGATAGATATCTGCCTATTCTCTGAAGGTCTCACACTGGGAACTTCTGTTTATTTCAGGAGTTGAGTATGATGACCTTGGTTAGCCCTGTCACAGCAGGGGATTTGTCCATGATTACATCCTTTTCTTCCCATTGTCCTCCTGCCCCAACAGGTTGATTGAGTCAAGCCTGGGCAGTGTAGCCACAAAACTCAACTTCTTCATCCATAACCTGGCCCAGATGAAGTTCACAGGCTCCGATGACCGGCTGACTCTTTCCTTTGCCCCTCGAACATACACTCTCAAGAGCTCTGGCCGCATCTTTGATGTTTTTCTCTGCCGTCATGAGAAAATCTTCCATCCCAGCAAGGGCTATGTAAGCATTTTTTCTTTCCTCTCCTGTCTCCTCCTGACTCAGCTCACTGGGGTTCTACCTCTTCCTACTCACAGTGGACAGTGGTGCTCACCGAGCCTCCTAGTCTGGAGCAGCTCCAGGCCACTGGCTTCTCCCTTCCCCAGATAACCTGGGTAGAATCGGGGAACAGACCAGTGGTAATTCCCACCATGTCACAGGCCCTACACAGTATACCCTGAAGAGTTTTGCTCCCAGAGTTTTGCTCCCAGATTCCTGCATATGTCCTGTCCACCATCCATCCTGTTCTCCAGTGGAGATGCCCCTGCTCTGCCTTCTGGAAAGCACCCCCTAACTCAGTACACACGTGTGCTTCCATTCCCTATTACCTCCTTCACTGGATGTGTAGGGTCTAAGACACATCTAAGATGTGGACCTTTGCAGATATATGTGGTGAGGGTAAATCGAGAGAGTGCTCATGAGGCCATTTACATCCAGCGGACATTTGAGGAGTTCCAGGAATTGCACAACAAGCTCCGGCTGCTCTTTCCTTCTTCCCTCTTGCCCAGGTAACTTCCCCCTTTACTTTATGGGGACGAGGGGGAGGGATGGGGCTGGCAGAACTTCAGGGGCACAGAGCACCCTTTGAAGATCTCCCTGCTTTACTTGGCTTGGCATTGATTTTGGTGACAAGTGCTCCCTCTGCTGGCCAAGCTCTCCTGGTGCCCAAGCAGTCCCCCCCCACCCCCCCACCCCCCAAGCAGCCTTGGTCTAGCCTTGGAAAGAAACTTGGGCCTATCTGTGAGAAGGAAAGCTGGCTGTGGTTAAAGAAGGGCCAGTAGTTGACTGGAAATCTTCCAAAGTGTCCAGCTTATTAAAGAGTTACACCAGAGCTGGACATGATGGTGTCCATATATAATGGGCTGAGGCAGAAGGCTTGAAAGTTCAAGGCCAGCCTGAGGAATTTAGCAAGAGTTTGTCTCAAAAAAATAAGGGCTGGTGTGCTAGGTGTGGTGTTGTACCTTCAATCCCAGCACATGGAAAGTGAAGCAAGAGGATAGACTGAGTTCAGGGCCAGCTAGGGTATAGTTTAGCAATAAAGCACTTGCTTAGCATGTGTGAGACCCTGGGTTCAATCTCCAGTACTGATAAAAAAGAGAAAAGGAACCATTTTTCAACTGGATAGACAAAGCATGGTGTATGCAGTATGTACCACAGAATATTACTGAGCCCTGAAAGAAAAGGCTATTGTGACTTGTAACCACGTGAATGAGCCCTGAAGACTTTATGCCACATGAAATAAGCCAGTCATATGACACAAGGCACAAGGTAGGATAATGGTTGAGGCATTATTGGGTTTTTGTTTTGTTTTGTTTTGTTTTTTACGGAACCGGGGATTGAACTCAGGTCCTTGCAATTGCCAGGGAAGCGCTTATTCCACCGAGCCATCTCCCTGGCCCCGCATTATTGTTTTAATAGATGTAGAATTTCAGCTTCAAAAAAATGAAAAGAATTATGGAGATAAGAGGTGGGCGTTAGATGGATGCAGGACCGTCTCCATGAGTTGGAGGCCAGCATGGTCTAGCAAAGAGTTCTGGAGGTGGATGGTGATGATAGCATGGTGAATGTTCCTTTTTTTTTTTTTTTTTTTTTGGTACTGAGGATTAAACTCAGGAACCCGCGCTTGCCATGCCAGTGCTTATTGTACTGAGCTACCTCCCTGGCCCGTGAATGTTCATAATGCCTTTTAACAGTATACTTAAGAACATTAAAATGGCCAAATTTGTGTCTTGTATATTTTTCTACTTTTTTTTTCTTTGTTTTTGGCAGCACTGGACATTGAACTCTGGGCCTTTGCACAGAACTATAATCCCCACCCCTTTTCATTTTTTCTTTTGAGACAGGATCTTGCTAAGTCCCTAAGTTGCCCTGTCTGGCTTTAAACCTGTTATCCTTCTTCCTCAGCCTCCCAAAGCACTGGGATTACAGGTGTGCGCTGCTGCTCCCGGTTTTTCTATCACTGAAAAAAAAAAATAATGATAGTAACCTATTTTCTCAGTGAATTGTTACACTGAAGGGAGAAACAGCAGAATCCAAGGCCTGGTCACAATTTCAAGGAGCCACAGGACTCTGCCTAACAATTTGGTTTTTCTGGCCTGGAGATCTTGGAGGTGTATGAGTGTACAGTTGAGTGTACCATGTGCCTGGGGGTGTGAGTGTGTGTGGCTGTGGGTGTGAGCATGCAGTGTTATGTGTGTCAGACCTGGGCACACATGGGGAGCCAGGGAGGAGTTTAGGTGACCTACTGCAGACAGGGAAGCTGTTAGGAAACAAGGGCCCAATGACTGGAGACACCAAGGAATGGCAAGACCTGCTCCTCATTTCTCTCCCTCTCGCTCCTTTGTGACCCCCTCCTCCCTCCCAGCTTTCCAAGTCGCTTTGTGATCAGCCGCTCCCGGGGGGAGGCCGTGGCTGAGCGGCGCAGGGAGGAACTGAATGGCTACATCTGGCACTTGATCCACGCAGCCCCCGAGGTGGCCGAGGTGGGTGGCTCCTATTCCTACTATCACTGCTGGCGGGATGGGAAAGCAGGCAGGAGGGTCTGAAGTTGGGGGATCCAGGCAGCCCTTCTGTGTCTGCCAGGGGAGTGACCCTGTAGAACGTGGGTCCCCCTTGTCAGGCAGCACATGCAATCACAGGGAATGTACTTGTTAGGGCAGCCAGGAGCACCCACACAGAGGCTTCTTCAGAAGGAGCCCTGAGCATCAGAAGGGGCCCCAAGTGAGTGGAGTGATCTGAATTGAGGAAGAGTGGAGGAAGCTTCTCTTCTCTTCTCTTCTCTTCTCTTCTCTTCTCTTCTCTTCTCTTCTCTTCTCTTCTCTTCTCTTCTTCTCTCTTCTCTCTTCTCTCTTCTCTTCTTCTCTTCTTCTCTCTCTTCTTCTCTTCTTCTTTCTCTCTCTCTCTCTCTCTCTCTCTCTCTCTCTCTCTCTCTCTCTCTCTTTTTCTCTCTCTCTCTCGGTGGCACTAAAAATCATACTCAAAAAAAAAAAAAAAAAAGAATCAAACTGAAAACCTCGCATTTACCAGGCAGGTGCTATGTCACTAGGCTACAGCCCCAGCCTGTGTTTGTGGGATTTTTTTTGGTCGTGGCTGAGGGGAGGAGCCTCTTGAAGGCAGAATCTGTGAGCAGGTCGATTATGTGTCCACCTAGATTTCTTTTAAATAAATGGCATTATAATGGCCCTCATACAGTTACCAGGAATCCTGTAACTCTGGCTGGCACCTGACTCCCATTTGCCACGTTTCCCATTGTCCATCCACACACACGTTCATCGTTTTGCAGTAGCGCCCTTTTACATGCAGTCCTATATTCTGAGACTTCTCCCATTAGCATTTATAGTAAGCATATGCTGGAACTTTAAATAGTTGTACTAAATTAATGCACTGACACGCAGTGCAATGATCTTACCCTCTTTATTTCTGTACGATTTTTTTCCATTTTCTACTATATTAATACTCAAGTAGAAACTTTCACATATTTAGGTGGGTTTTGTTTGGTTGGTTTTGGTTTCAGTCTTTTGTTTTTTGAGACAAGGGCTTAAATTGTAGTGCAGTCTGGACTTGAACTCACAGCGTAGCCTGGCTGATGTCAAACTCACAGCAACTCTCCTGCCTCAGCCTCCCAAATGCTGGGATTATGGGTGTGTGCCACCATAGCTGGTTTGGTCTTGTTCCTTCTTATTATTTAGGAAATATACTCCTGCACAGGATTCAAGCTCTTTGTCCTCATTGGCTCAAGCACCTCTATAGGTGAGCAGGGTGCATGTGCTGATTAGAGAGGCAGGAGTCAAAAGGAACACACTGCTCTTAACCTGAAATGACTGTTATTTTTCCTTTTAAAAAATATTTTTGGGGGCTGGGGAGATAGCTCAGTGGAATAAGCACTTCCCTGGCAAGCACAAGGGCCTGAGTTCAATCCCCAGTTCTACCAAAAAAAAAAAAAAAATTTAGTAAGAAAACCTTAAAGCATAAAGAAAAGCAGAATAATTAGTGTCTGTGTACCTACTATGTAAATATTTTCCCATATTAGCTTTATTTACGTACTGGGAATTGAACTCAGGACCTTGGGCTTGCCAGGCAGGGACTGTGCCACTTAGCTATATCCCCAGCTGGGTTCACTTATTCTTAATTTAAATTTATATATTTATGTATTTGGTGCAGCTCACACAGCATGTGGTACCAGGGATTGAACCTGGTCCTTGCGCTTGCCAAGCAGGCGCTTAGACTGATGAGCTATCTCTGCAACCCTTATGTATTTATTTATTTTTTTACATAATTTTATTGAGAAACAAATAGCAATGAGACAGTTTCAAACCAAATTGGTAGAACAGTTTCAATAATTAACACATTGCATACGTTCTTCCTAGTGGTTAATTGGTGTACAAGATGCGGACATGATATCCTATTTACAAACACTATTAGAACAAATCCCTCTATTCATTAAGAGAATGCAACTATATATCTATCCTAATCACTTTGAATACACAGATACAAAATGGACATTCATCTATATCCCCTTTTTTTATTTAGTTCCGTTATTTGAATATTGTAGGTGTGTTAACTCAGCAAAATATTCTAAACAAGTCCAGTAGTATTGGGTTTTCCACTTCACTGGCAATGTCAGAAATTGCTGACCTGAGTCCCCTACAGCTCAACATAATAGCATGGCTTTACTTCTTATATTTTGTTTTTATACTTTTCTGCTGGATGGTTAAGACCAAGGTAAAGCAGGACCTATGCAACAAGAGTTGTAGCTTTTGGGTCTGATAAGGTCAGTGAAATCCCCTCAGGATTTATGCTGAGATCCTGTACCTCAGATTATAGAACCTTTGTCAGTGTCAGCCATGTGGATGAATCACGGCCATTGCTTGGCCAATGTGCTCTCTGTGAAAGCCTGAGAGAATGTTTTCTCTCCATATGACTCTCCTTAGGCACATTCTACATCATCGATCACTTTCCTCTTTGGCCCCATAATCTCCTTGATCAGAAAATTTGGGACACTACTGAGTTACATGATGTTACAGTACAAGTTCTCATATATTGCCCTTATTTATTTTTATGGCATATTTTAAAACAAATTGGATGATATTGTACCCTTACAATATTATAATAGGTATCTCTGAAAAATAAGAATAAGTGCATGTGTAACTGTAGCATTGTTACATCATCCAACAGGTAGTCCATGTCCAAGGTTTCCCAGACTCTTTACAGTTGGTTTGATTGCATCTTTCCCCAAATAGAAGGACACATATTTGGTTTTCTGTGTCCTACATCTCAATCTGGAGCCTCCGGTCCTCCTGTTGGGCTGCTGTCCCACTGAAGAAGGGCCTGTGTTCTGATTCCATTCCAGTGCGACCTGGTGTACACCTTCTTCCACCCCCTGCCCCGGGACGAGAAGGCTGCGGGCACCAGCCCAGCCCCCAAGTCCTCAGGTACAGTGCCTTGCCTGGGGGAGCCCTGCGGCCCCCCTGGGCCTCCCAAGGCTCTCTCCTGCCCCATTCCTCCCAGTGCTCTTTTGTTGGCTGTCTCCAGTCCCTCTTCTCATTGGCTGTGCAACCTGCTTCTGCACTCAGGCTGTGCAGCTCCTTGGCCCAGCTCCCCTGAAGCTGGATGCTGGTACTACACCACCGCTTCCGTAAACTGCTCCCAACTCACGTCCAGACCCTGCTTAGGTGGAGCTCATGAGAATCAGGAACCTGACTTAGAGAGACTGGGACAGGGGCTTCAGAGAGAAAGCAGAACCCACCTGTCACAGTCAGGAGCACCACGGGCCTATTGACCTTTCTCGGTTTCCTTGGTTCCTACAGATGGCACATGGGCCCGGCCAGAGGGAAAGGTGGGCGGGGAGGTGAAGCTATCCATCTCCTACAAAAACAACAAGCTCTTCATCATGGTGATGTACATCCGTGGCCTGGTAAGTGCACAAACAGCCCCTGTTTATTTGTCTGTCTAGTTTGTCTGGAATAGCCAGAGCTTTTGCTGCCCTGGTGTCAGCTGAGTAAGTGCTAGGATGCATGAGCCAGGCCTATGTTCTGACCACACAGTTCAAGACAGGGGGTCAGGCCTGTTAGCTGTGGGCTCCAGCAGTGTCCTGCTCATAAGGAGGGTAACATCAGCGCCAACCTCCTAGGCTTGCCTCTGGGATTAAATGAGATACTGCATGGCAAGCACTCACTTCACTGCATTATTATGGTGATGTGGTACTTACTGTAAAAGAGAGAGGCCCAAAGGGCTAGTCACCTGATAAGGCAGTCACTTGACATCCTTTCTGCTTAATCATGCAGCATATGCTGACATTTTTGGTACAGAACGTAGGAACAATGTGGATAGAATTCTATAGAATACAAGAGGTGACCAAAACATGGTGAATGTTCAAATTTTTAAAAATTGATTATAATATGGAATGGGAGGGGCATAAGAGGGGAAGTAAACAGAATTAGGATTCGCTGTGTACACACACCAACTCTCCATGATCGGTGTGCTCATCGTATATTCCGAACATGTACTAATAGAAATGGTTTTAAAATGTATTATTACAGTAAAATCCATAATACTCCCCTGCACTTCAAACATACTCTTCCCACCATTCTTGCCGCTTTCTGAAACAGTTCTGGAAGTCCTCTTTCATGAATGTCTTCATAAGGTGTGATCACAAATGCAATGAATGGTACTGCTGAGTGGAATCCAAAGGAAAGGTGGTCTTGTAAAAACATTACAGTGAGGTGGCAGTTTGCAGAGTGGGGAAGGAAGGCCTCTGATAGAGGAGCTCTGTGATGCAAAGCCTGAGTCATGACGGCTGCTGGGTGTGGCCAGGAAGCACAGTGGCTTCAGCTGCAGCGGGCGCTGGTGGGGAGGTGGGAGAGGGCCCAGTGGGCCAGAGCATAGGCGCCACCATAGGACTGTCTCCCCGGAGGAAGATAGGTGGGAGAAGAGGGGAGATAAGAGGGAAAGAAGAAGAAGAAGTAAAAAGAATTAAGAGGCACTCTGTGTATTCCTCACCATGAATATAATCATTAGGTACTGCAGCTGTATTAATAAAAACTTAATAGCCAGGCACGGTGGCACACATCTGTAACCCCAGCACTTGAGCAGCTGAGGCAGGAGGATTGCCCTGGCTACATAGTGAGTTCAAGGCCAGCCTGTGCTACATAGTGAGACCCTGGTTTTTTTGTTGTTTTTTTTTAATGTTTTTAGAGATAGGTGGGAATTGTTGGAGGGCTTTGGGGCAGAGCTTTGGCATGATTGGCTTACGTTTTAAAAGCTGGGGCCCTGGGGGTGTAACATGTGTACAGCACTGGGTTCAGTTCTCAGTACTGGAAATAGAGATCAAGCTGGGTGAGTCACTTGTCAGCTGACCTTGAGCAAGGAAGCAACATAATCGACTCATGTCTCCTCTGGGCAAGAGTTAAACAGACCAAATGACAAGAGAGCATGACAAGATGATACCTGGGGAGGATAGCATGGCTCATTCCAAGGAGGCCACATCATGAGCTGCCCAGAGCATTTAGATGAAAAAGAACGGATTTCAAGAAGCTAAGCCAGGGCTGGAGATATGGCTCAGTGGTCTAAGGCACCTACTTGAAACAAGCTTGGCAAAGCACAGGGGCCGCAGTTCGATCCCCCAGCACCACATGCCAGCCAGCCCTGCCCCCTGGTGGGCTGAGCTGGCCACACACACACACAATAAATAAATGTAATAAATAAAAAAATAAATAAATAACTTAAAAAAAAAAAAAAAGAAGCTAAGCCAAGGGCCAGCGAGATAGCTCAGCTGACTAAGTGCCTGCTTAGGCAAGCACAGGGACCAGGGTTTGATCACTGGCACCACATGCAGTGTTGGCCCTGCCCTCAGGTATGCTGAGCCAGCCAGCCACCGAGACTGGGCTGGTGGCACATGCCTGTAATCCCAGCACTGGGAGGCTGAAAACAGGAGGATCACCACGAATCTGAGCCCAGAAAACCTGCAACCCTACCTACATAAATACATAAGTACCAAATACACAAATTTTAAAAAAGTTGAACCAAAAATAAAACCAAACTACATATAATAGGCAACTGACAGTCTAATCTGTCTGTCTCTCTTTCTCTTGTACTGAAGGTTGAAGCCAGGGTCTTTGCACTGAGATATATCCTCAGCCCTTTTTTAAATTTTTATTTTGAGACAAAGTCTCACTAAGTTGCCCAGCCTGGGTATGAAGTTGATCCTTCTGCCTTGGCCCCCTACAATACTGGGGTTACACTGTTTTGATAGAATACCTATCATGATCTTGGTAAGTATTTTCTTTTATCAGAATGGAGCAAGATGGGAGGTAGGCAGATGGTATGTGCTGCCAGAAACCAGTGTGGGAGAGGAGTATAGGTCAGGAGTGAGGAGCAAGAGACAGATAGAAATCTTCAGTTAGTTGTTGTGGCACATGTCTGTAATCTCACTCTGGGAGGCTGAGGCAGGAGGATCACAAGTTCTAGTTCAGCCTAGCTCAGAGAACTTTAGGATAAGATTCTATCTCAAAATAAAAAATAATAAGGGCTGGAGATGTAAGGTCCTGTGTTCAATCCCCAATACTAGAAGAAAAAAAAAAAAAAGAATCTTTATCATTTTGTTGTTGTTTTTATTGTTACAGCAATTGCTTCAGGATGGGAATGACCCTGATCCCTATGTGAAGATTTACCTCCTTCCTGACCCTCAGAAAACCACTAAGAGGAAAACTAAAGTGGCCCGGAAAACCTGCAATCCTACCTACAATGAGATGGTGTGTGGGGGAATGGTGGCATAGGGTAGTGGGCAGGCGTTGGCAGACTGCATCTGTTCTGTTAAATAAGGGTGTGTGTGTTACTCTGGGAGGCTGATGCAGGAGGATTATAAGTTTGAGCCCAGACTAGGCAGCTTAGCAAGACCTCACCTCAAAACAAGAAATTATAAAAAGACTGGGGCTATAGCTCAGTGTGAAGGCTACGTGGTCAGTCTCCAGTACTCAAAGATGCATATGTACAGGTCATTCTGCAGCGTGCCCACCACACTTCATTTGGGGTTGTGTGGCCGCTCTCATATTGCAATGGTAGCTCAAGTAGTTGTGACACAGACTTTACCTATAAAGCTAAAACTATTTGCTCTCAGGGCTGAGGAGATAGCTCAGAGGCCTAAGCACCTGCCTGGCACACACAAGGTCCTGAGTTCAATTCCCAGTACCAAAAACTAAAAATAAATAAAAATTAAACTATTTATTCTCTGTCCCTTTACATAAAAAACTTCCTTTTTTGTTTTATAAATATAGTTTATACTGGCCTTGGACTCACTGCAATCCTCTTGCCTCAGCCTCCTGGGTGCAGGCATGCACCACCCTGTGTGGCCTAGACAGCTCTTTGACCCTTGATATTAGGATAGCAGAGCAGGGTGGGGGCCATACCTGTGGGAAGGAGGAACCTGCTGGTCCTGTGCTGCACAGACAGATGCAGTGGCCCTCATGACAGGCCCTCGCTTGCTCGGGCTCTGAGTCCGCCTGCGGCTTCTCTGTGACACAGTGTTCTTGGGCTCTGCGGGGTTGGGGACACGCAGTGGCTTTAGCCTCAGCCAACTCAACCCACTAGGCACCTGAGCGTGCCCTTCCCGTGTTCATGCTTCCTCCTGTCCCCATTGTCTGGTTTGCAGTTGGTGTATGACGGGATCCCCAAGGGGGACCTGCAGCAGCGGGAGCTGCAGCTGAGTGTGCTGAGTGAGCAAGGATTCTGGGAGAACGTGCTCCTCGGGGAGGTGCACATCCGCCTGCGGGAGTTGGACCTGGCCCAGGAGAAGACCGGCTGGTTTGCCCTCGGGTCTCGAAGCCATGGAACATTGTGAGCCAGCAGAGCCATGGCCCAGGACCTCCAGCTGGTGGCAGGAGTTCGGGGAGAAGACTATCGCTCCACTACTTCTCCTGGGGGAGGGGCAGGGCCTATGCTGGGCAGCTTCCCTTGGATCCAGGCGGACCTGGCCTCTGTGACGGTGCAGTCAGGTGCCCTCGGCCGTGTCTTTCTCCACAGGCTGGACTTGGGTTGGTTGTGCTGAGCAGCCCCTCAGAAGCTGTGAGGTTGCAGCAAAGTTTTTAAGTTTACCTTGTGTCAAGGGAGCAATGCCTGGTTTGGGGTGTATGGGGGGCGGGCTGTATGAGGTAGCAGTGGAGGGGAGGGTGGGTGGATATCTTTATTTTTATTTTTAAAAAATGAAATAGTAATGTTGTCCTAGATGGGACAGGAAGCCTTGCAAGAAGGGACATACATATGCCTCAGAAGGCACGAGAGGAAGACTATTTGGACTTTTTGTATGATTAAAGTTCTTATTGGACTTTTCCCTAGGTGTTTGGTTGGGTTGGGTTTGATTTTCTAGCTATAGGAATGATTTGGGGAGGGGCCCAGTGGGTCCTCTGGTCCAGCCTGCCTTCTCTTAGAGCGGGGCAGGTGGGTGAGGGGGGAGGGCTGCCTAGGCTGCGCCAAGGCCTGGGCTGGACTGAGGCCTGCGCTGGGCCTTTCTGATTTTTGCCTCCAAAGGAGAGCGACATGATACCTACATGTGTAAGGAAGGGCCTTCCATATCGGGGTTCCGCCAAGGACCTGTATTCAGGGACCCATGCTCTTTAGGGGCAATTTTTTCCTCTCATTTTCCCCTATTTGGTTAACACTTGGCCTGGATCCTGTCTCCTCCCCCTACCTCTGTCCTCTCAAACCTTCTATGGGCCATCCCATCCCTGCAAATACGTTGGGGGTGCTTTCCCATAGGTCTCTCTTTATTAATGTTTCCCAGTGGGACAAAATGCTGCCCAGTCCTCAGATGTAGTTTCACCCCAGGGCATCGGGCCCTGGGCATCTAGGAGGCAGATGCAAACGTGGCTGCCTGCTGCATCATTTCTGGAAAGCATTCCCCTCCCTTTCCACTTCTTTCTGTTCTTCTCTCCCACACACCTTTTTCTGTCATACTTTTCCTAAAAATGTCCCTCATTCTGTGGGGCCATAAAACCTATTTGGAGCCAAAGGGATGCCCAGGCAGAAGCAAGGAGATGGGGCAGAAGAGTCCATAGCACTGTTGTTTTCCCTGGGATTTTCCTTGGTTGGGAGGAGGCTGTATTGGAGATATGACACCTCCATATCTCACCTTGGAACTGAGATCATGGGCTAGGAGAGATGGGGGCTCTTTTTTTTTTTTTTTTTTTTACCACAGACTTCATTCCCTCCCAGGTGGATTTAAATTTGCTTTTGCATTTTTCTCCAAAGGGCTGTCTTCTCAAAAAGAGGGACAGACTTTGACTTTGGTAGTAACTTTTCAAAGCACATGTCCCATGATTGGGAAAAAGTTCACCAGGACAGAAACAGTCTGTAATCTCTCTCTAGCTCTTTCCTCAACTCCAAGGGTCACCAATCTCTGTTTCTGTTGACTCATTCCACTACTGGGGAAAGAAAGTCCATTCATTGACATCACAGGGCAACAAAGAAGTTTAAATTTTTCTTTTACATTAAAAATGCCAAGGATAAAGCTGGTTGAGGAGGGCAGGGACTCGGGGAACAGAAGAAGGGTAGAGCCTTTCCAGATACATGGACCACAGATGGGTCACTGGCTTTCGCTGCTGGCCCATTTTATTTCGACCCTCTATGCCCCTGATTTGAAAAGGCCTGTACTGTACCCACTTTCCAAGCTCCTTGTATCTTCTACGTTCTCTGGAATTGTATTTTCTAATAAATGATATCTGAGGAAAAAAAACCTATCATTTTTAAAAAAGATTGGTTGATATGTAAATGTTTAGATGAAATTGTCTGGTGTACAAGATGAAAAATAAAAATAACAGTGGATTTTCAAGTGGTAATGTTGATACACCCTAGGGCCCCGCAGACCGTGGCTGAGCCACAGCTTCAGGTGGGTGTGATTATCCTGTTTTCAAATAAGAAATCAAGGCGCAGAGAGATTAAGTGTCGTGCCCAAGGCACAGAGCCAGTCAGTCTTAAAACTGGACTTTGAACCTAGCTTTCACTAGATTCCAAACCCCTTTTATGCAACGCATAATACAACTCCTTCAATTGGTGTCATATTGATCGCTTTCAAAGTGCTTTATCCATGTCACTTTTCCCACTACCATGGGGAAAAAGTGGTAAGTTCATATGCGTTAATTCTGTAAACATTTATTGTACGTACTCATGCTACCTAGCGGTGAGCCACCTTTCACAAAGCACAGAAGAAGCTTCTAGAATTGTACACTGTGGTCCTATACCGGGCATCTGACTGAGAGTTGCAAAAGCTAAGACAGTTGGGTGTGATGGTGTGATGGATCATGCCTGTGATCCCAGTGGCTTGGCAGGCTGAGGCAAGAGGATGGCAAGTTCAAGGCCAGCCTGGGCAATTTGACAAGACCTTGTCTCAAAGTAAAATTGCAAAAGTTCTGAGAGTATAGCTCAGTGGTAGAGTACTTGTTTGGTATGTGCAAAGCTCTGAGTTCAATCTCCAGTACTAAATAAATGAGACAATGCCCTGCATTTAAGAAATGTTCTGCCTGGTGGTATTTAACCAACCCCATTTTACAAAAGAACTAAACCTTGAGGCACCTGGCAACTACCAAGCTGGTAGAACTGCAGCTCAGAAGTGAACCCCCTTGTTCAAGGATTTTACCCTGAAGTTTAAAACACTCTGAGGTTAGGAGTCATATTTTGTGCTGGGGAAGTTCCTAGGGCTTTCAAGGGACATTTTGACAAAAAAGTAGGCAGTGTCACTTGATGCATTTCTGAGTGTCTCTGAAGTGTCACATCCTGGCCAAGTCCCTAAGGACCTTTTAAAAATTAGAACGTAGTCTGGCAAGAGACCTAGGTAAGGGTATCTTTTGGCCAAATGGAGTAGAAACCTGAACCTCCAGAGGGAGTAGGTATGACAGAAGTGGGGCATAGGGAAGAGGGGTACTCAGGGAAAAAAGAATCATGAAGCCCAAGAGATTGGGTTTCCAAATTCAACGAGTGGCAAAATGACAACTTGCTGGGATTCGTGGGGTGGATGGGAGGAAATGTGCTTGAGTTGAAAGGTCAGAACTGGAGCAGCATTTAAAGTGAAGAGGTGCTCTGGGGAGCACTTGCCCCAGGATTCTTTTTTTTTTTTTTTTAATTTTTTTTTTTTTTTTTTTTTTTTTTGTGTGTGTGTGTGTGTGTGTGTGTGTGTGTGTGTGTCCAGCTCAGCCCACCAGGGGGCAGGGCTGGCTGGCATGTGGTGCTAGGGGATCGAACCGTGGTCCCTGTGCTTTGCTAAGCTTGCTCTGAGTAGGTGCTTTAGACCACTGAGCCATCTCACCAGCCCCTGCCCCAGGATTCTGATCAGCACAACACACTGCACACAACCACACAGTGTCAGGCACTGTGGCTGCTCAGAGAGAAAGGTTCAGACCAGATCATGAAGGATCTCAGTACAGCGAGGCAGGCAGCCATAGAAATAGGGTCCTCCCTTGGTATCCAAGAGTTATGCATTCCACAGATTCAGCCAGTGGTGGAAAATATCTGCAAAAGAATTTTTCAAATTGCGCTGAACATGTATAGGATTTGCTCCTTGCTGTCATTCCCTAACCTACATAGTATGATAACTGTTCACATGCATTTATATTGTATCAAGTATTGCAAGTTAGAGATGATTTAAGGATATAGGAGGTTGTGTGTAGGTTATATGAAAATACTGTACCATATCTGCAGAGGGACCAATATTCCCAATATTGAGGGACACCTGCAATTATAGTACAGTCTGGCACAGACAAGATGGATGGGGGAGGGAAGGGATATGGGAGGGACTTCACAGAGGAGATATTTGGACTGTGTTTTAACATCAATCAGAGCCAAGCATGGTGGTGCACAACTGTAGCCTCAGTACTTAGGCAGCTGAAGCAGGAGGATTATCACAAATTCAAGGCTGGACTAATAGTTCAAGGCTAATCTGACCTACATAAAGAGGCCTTATTTCAAAAATAAAATTTAAAAAAAAAAAATCAGAGCTGGGCCTGATTCCAGCACTCAGAAGTCTGAGACAGGAGAATTGCTGCAGGTTTGAGGCCAGCCTGGGCTACATAGTAAGTTCAAAGCCAGCCTGAACTACTTAGTGATACCCTGTCTCAAAAAACTACCCCCCAAAAAATAATAATAATAAAAAAAATGAAAAGTCTATCAGAACTCGCAATCCTGTTCTCAGTGTGATGGAGATGCCTTTATGGATGTTGTTTTAGTTTGGTTTTTTGAGATAGGTATCTGTGTAGCCAAGACAGACTTTAAACTTACAGTGTTCCTGCCCCAGGGCTGGGATTCCAGGCTCTCATCATGCCTCCCAGCTCACCATGGTTCTGGGAAAGGGACTTCAGTACTTCACTACATGTTTTAAAGGATCATTCTGGGGCTAGGTATGTAGCTCAGTGTGAGAAGTTTTGCCTCTGTGTGAAAATGCTTGCCTGGCATGTGTGAGGCCCTTGGTTCAACATAGGCTACTGTGCAAAGGGGTGGGCATTAGCTACTTCAGAAGTTTACCTCAGAGGTTGAGCATTTGCCCAATAGGCAGGAGGCTCTGGGTACAATCCTTGAGAAAGAAAGGAGTCCAAGATGACCTCTGGAGCTGAGGAGCTGAGGAGATTCTGTAACAGGTCTCTCCTAGTTTCAGGATATTTGTTGCCAACTTTGATGTTCCTTGGCTCACAGATATGGGCCCCTGATCTCAGCCTTCATGTTCACATGGATTCTCCCTGCAAGTCTTGCTTCTGCTTTTTTGCAGGGACACAGTCCTGGATTAGGGCCTTCCTAATGACCTCATTTAACTTGATCATCTCTAAATAGCCTACATTATTTCCAAATCAGGCCCCATTCTCAAGTATGGGTGTGAGGGTTTAAACATCTTTTGGGGAGCACAACTCAACCCCTAACAGTCAAGAGACTGCAGACAACAAAATTTCTTGGTAACCTTGACAAGGGCTGTGTGCATGAGTCGGGGAAGTGAAAGGCACACTGGTGTAGGGTAGGAGAAAATAGGAGACAATGGAGACCATGAATGTAGACAACTCGAGAAACTGAGCTGTGATGGTGCAGGAACTTGGAGGGGTGTGAGGTGTGGAAAGATTTTTAAAATAGGTGATATTAAACTACAGGAATGTAAATGATCTGTCAGTGAGAGAGAAACTGGTCTGTTACAGGATAGGAGGAATAATAGCGGCTGGATTCCTTGAGTAGAAAGGAAGGCCTGGGGTCCAGGGGAGCTTCTTGGCTTGTAAGGAGATTGAAGGCAGAGTATGGGGCTTGAGATACAGGTGGGTTAGTGGGGAAAGGATGAGGTGGTTCAAGTTTGGATTTGTTTCCTCAAAGTAGTAAGAGGTGGGAACCTAAACTGAGAATGTGGTTTATGGGGGATGCTGGAAATTTGGAGGAAGAATCACTGTAAAATAGTCTCAGAGTATGAAAGTAGAGCTACCCAGGAACTGTCATGGGTGTACCTGGCATTGGTGAGGTCGGTTGGTGATCACAGAGTGACAGGAGCTGCTCAGTGTGCCTGAGCCACTAGGATCGAGTAACTAGCTGCATGCGTCGGACACCCAATGAGTAGGTAGCTCTGTTTTGCTACGGCTGGAATGTGGCCAAGAAGAATGAGAGAGGAGCAGAGGGGTCTTTGTAAGGGGCGATTCTAATACAGGATCGAGGAAGGAAGCGAAGGAGGTGATGGGTTGCAAAAGACTGGTCATGGCAATGGTTTCTGGTCTCTGAATGCCTAATAGGGAATAGGGACATTGGGTAGTGAGCTGGAAAGGCAGGAGGTGGCAGTCAGAGTGTGGGATACTTAGAGGTCAGATTTTAGAAGCAGCGCCAACTCTAGAACACAGTTAAAAGCTATGTACTTTTTACCTCAGGCCTTGCAAAATCTTTTTAAACAAACACAATGAACTGAGATTTTAATGATCTGCTGCCAAAGTGCCAGTCAGATTGCTGGTCCAAAGACTTCTTGTCTTCCCCAGCTTGCACACAGCCATGGGAACGCACTGTTAGCTCCGAGCGCACAGCTGCGCTCCCTGCACTCCTAGCTGAAGCAGGCTGGGGGCGTCTGATTCACCCTTCATCTACAAGTGTGACTGACCAGCAGTCGCATATTCTCAGAGCTGCAAATGCTTCATCATCTCTCTCTAGAACAACTTTTTTTTTTTTTTTTTTTTCTTTGAGACAGGGTTTCACTATGTAGTTTGGGCTGGCCTTGAACTTACAGTGGTCCTCCTGCTTTAGCCTCAGCCTCTTGAGTGCTGGGATTACAGGCGTGCGTTACCACGCCCGGCATCTAAAACAACTTCTAAGGTAAGGGCGTAAAAAATTATATCCAATGATTATATGGGACAAGGAAACCCATCCAAGAAAGTTTTAAGAAATTGTCAGGGGCCTGCCCATTAGCTCAGGTGTTTAAAGTGCCTGCTGAAACAAAGCAGTCAGGCTCAGGATGCTGTGGTTCAATCCCCTCATCCTCAAGCCAAACCAGACCTGCCCTGAAGGCATCCTGCGCAGCCCCCTCCTCAAAAAAAAAAAAAAAGAAAGAAAGAAAAGAAATTGTCTTTAGGAACTTGACATGGTGGCACACACCTGTCATCCCAGTACTCAGATGGCTGAGAGACTGAGGCAGGAAAATTGCTACAATTTTGAGGCCAGCCCAGGTATATAGTTAGTTTAGGAGCATCCTGAACTATATATATAGCAAGGCCCTGTCTCAAAAAATAAAAAGAAAGAAAGAAAGAAAGAAAGAAAGAAAGAAAGAAAGAA